GGTGAATCTTCAAATCCAACTGAGAAGGCAACAGGTTTCTACAATGTTTATAATGTTGATTTTGTTGGACTTCTTCCCCTTTTTCGTGCATAGTAAGCTATCAAGAAAAAATAATTACCTGTTTTAGGAACTTCGTAGCAATCGAAGCAATTAAAGAAGAATCAAGCCCTCCTGAGAGCATAAAACCAAATTGTCTGTTGCCCATCAAGCGTTTCTCCACGGCTGCTATGAGAATCTCTCGAATCATTGTCTATAAATAAGATTCCAGTTGTTTTTTGAGAGTAATGGTCTTTATACTGCGGTTTACCTGTGCATGTGGCATCGTAAGAAAGCGATCTGCGACACATGGGATTGAATAATATTTTTGAACAGATATAGATCTGAAAAGCATTTCTTATGTCGTTCATAGGGCATACATATTAAACGTCAAAATACCTTGCACGGTTACGAATTGGCACAACAGCGCAGCAGCCCGGAGGAAAATAGTCAATTCTATCGCACAACTGTTCAGTGCACTTCACTTCCGAGCCGATTACAAGCGCTCCTGAATGGCTAGTAGTGATGGACTATATTAGTGGTAAGTTGCCCTTGCTTTGATATGTGCACTCAGATGGAGCAAACTTATGATTTCGAGTGGTAAGTTTTCGAAAAATACTACCTAGTTCTGCAAAAAACGGGTAGAAGTGAAATGAGGGTTATATTATCAAACTGATATACCTGAATTATTTTTTAGGGATTAAAGCAGTCAAATTTCGAATTCAATTGTTCTTTGAGCTCGGCATCAATCTCGACTTGTAAGAATTGTTGTTCATTCAAATTTTTCAAGACATTGATGTTAATACTGAGCAGTTATAGAAAAATATCTTTAGATAAACGAAATGCTTTTCTGAACCAATTCAATATAGGCGAGTTTAGGCAAGCACTTACTGCGTTAAATTTCATGTTCACAAAATTTGTTTATTCAAAGAAAGCTAGGGAAAGGACAACAGGATAATGTGAGCACTACAAAGCATGAGTTGATTCTCCTGCTGTAAGCTTGGCTTGAGCTTGGCGAGTTTTGGATTATGTCAAGAATTAAACACATTGGTCTTTAGGCCTTTGACCATAGAATAAAA